CAGCAGCATTCCTCTCACCTTTTCAAAACCCCGAACACATTCGCGCACATTTTCACGGATGTCTGTTTCCATCAGCCAAATGCTGGGCGGCTCGTGCAGGAAAGATGCATCCAAAGGGATAAAGCCGAAATCCGGGAGATCTCGATGCTCCTGCGGTCAGCTTCAGTATCCAGCGACTGACTGTGACTGACTGACTGCGGTCGGGCTGCTGTCGCCCCTCCCACAGCCTCTACCACCAGATTCCTTCCTCCGCTGCCCTTTAAAACAACTTAATTTAAAAATAAATATGCTACCAAGGACTCATGAAACGCTTAAATGGAAACAGCCATTACAAAAACCGGTTTACAGCAGACACTCCCCTGTGAATGCCATTGTTAGTGTGTTAAGCTAGCTACTGATGATCACCTGACACAGCCCCACCTCAGCCAAATAACTCTGGCTTTTCAGCGTAAATACATCAACACCGCCACCTCTCTTTAACAGTTTCGCTCTTACCTGCATAGCCAGCGTACAGCCATCGGAACTATTGCGGAAAAGTGCGCACCTCCTGTGACTAAAGCTAAACATTAGCCTACCTAGCTACCTTCGAGTACTTACTTTACAGTTCGTGAGGATATGAACTAACACGGAGTTTGTGTTTCCTCGCTAATATTGAAGAGACGCCATTACATCACTGTTTTATTGATGTTAACAAATAAGAAATACAAGTCGATGTTTAGTTACCGCACGACACGTATATGCGGATGTAAAATAAATCGCATAATCCTGTTAATATTCGGATAAACAGCTTTACTATTTTTAACCTTGTGCAAATTTTGGTCGACCAGCAATAGGCGCGCTTCATTTGGTCATGACTCCGCGTCGTTTAACGGTGCTAAGATAAACCCTGACTTTGCTACTGTTTAACTTTTACTTTAGTCTATTTAACTTAGTTAACAAAAAAGTTTGACGAGCATTATTTATTGTGTAGTAAAAAAAAACAAACCTAACTAACAATCTAGCATCTCCAACAATTCAATAACAGAACGAAATAGGCATTTAGATACTTTGTGAGAGTAAAAGTACTAATAGCGAAACCTACACAGATAATCCATGTGGTTTTCAAGTTTAATTCGACAATAATGATATTTATCAAGCTACGTTGAGCCCTGCTCAACTTCGTCTGCTCCAAGCAGGATCCAGACAAACCTCCTCCTCCTCCTCAGCCTGTTATCCTTAGCTCAGCTCCCCTCTCAACCTGACTCTGCTGTACAAAATGCAACATTTACCACTGAAATATAGTTATTAGAAGAAATATAGTATATAAATATAGTATTAGAAATATAGTATTAGAAGTAGTATACAAAATAATAATAATAATAATAATAATAATAATAATAATAATAATAATACAATACATAGGAAGGGCTGCAGCAGAGGAAAAATAAATATAGTGGGGATTTTTGCTTCATAGTGACTACATATGTATATTCCTAACATCTAATCTGGTTGACCTCTTTTTTTTTCTTTTACCCCTACAGCCGTTTTTTCAATTCATTTATTTTTTAATAAGGAAAAAATGTGACTTAAGCTTAAATAAATAAACAAATAGATAACATAGACATATATTTATTCCCCACGTTACTTTCTGTTTTGGCTCTTTCTGTAGTCTTACATTTAAAGAATATCCTAAACTGACAAGAAACCTTTTTTCTGTTGTCGTTTTTTAAGTGAATCCGGGATTTACCGGTGAGATTGCCGAGCGCATCCATGCTCCTTGTTGGGCTCACGTGACCAAATGGCAGGCAGTTGTACAGAGAAGGGCACGAGCTCAGTGAAAGTTTGGTTGTGTCCTCGAGCTCAGTCTTGTGCTGTTTAGTGGTTTTTGGCGTGATTTGTTTTATTTAAGTCGCTTTTTTAGAGTCGGCTTGCAAAAATGGCCTCCAGGACAGCTGCAGCTGCGAGACGGTCGACATGGAGGAGCTTCTGTCCTTCCAGTCTCCGCTTATCTGCAGGTAGCAGTCGGCTCTGCAGCTCCAAACAGGCAACCCAGAAGGACAAGCCAGTAAATGTTTGTATAATGACAATTTATTACATTTATACACTGTTTAAAGGGCTGCCATTTGTTAGCTATAGACGGCCGGGTTGTTGTTGTTGACGATCACGTGTGGCGCCATTTTTTTATGCCCACATTAAAGACGTGTGTACGAAATAAGCTGTTTTTTAAAAATAAATTTTAAACGTTGCAGGAAATAAAGTGTTATTGACAAAAATATATTGCAGTGCTTTAGACTTTATTAGGGTTAAATCGGTGTTACAACGTCTGTTTTAATGATACAGTTGTAGTATAAGTATTTGTAGGAAAATAATTGAGAACAATTTAAAATATTATGGTTTAAAGTTATATTTTAAGACCTAAAGTGTCCAGCAATACATCTTCTTAGATTTCACTTTTTTTAACCCTTTCAAAATTACATGCATTTGTTGGAGTTTGTAACTGCAGATGTTTAATGACTGTTTAATAATACAGTATTTCTTTAAAAATGTAAATACATCTACTTTACATATAAGCGTGCATTGATATGCCTGTCAGTAATCAGACTGAATTTGCTGACCCAGTGTTTTGCATTTGGATTGTTTTACCTCTTTTTTCGTCTCTTGGCCCTGGAGCGTTTTTTATTCCTCGCTGCTGTTTCCATCTTGAAGTCTGCTCGGTAATGATAAGCTGTCTGGTGGAGGTCACTGCCCATTTAAAGCCACGTGATGTGCATCTGCTGTGTGGAGTGTCAGTCTTTAGCAGACTGTCTTTAAACCTGAGTTCCAGATGATATCTGCATTTTTCATTAGTACAGATGTGGCTGTGTTGGTGATGCTAACTTTGCATGTGGAATTCAAACTACATGTATTTGTGTCTGATGACCTCATCGTTGTCATATGGGGTTTGCATAGGTGAAATTTGGGACATCTTCAGCCTTCTGACTGTTGTCACCTGCAATTCTACGCTCAACTTTTGTGTTAGCACCCTGTATCTTTCCCGTTAAGTTATTTTTGTGCTGATACTGTGTTGTCTGAACCCATCGTTACAGTAGTGTCTTCTTTTTTTACATAGAGATCTACATATAGACCAGAACCCAGCTCCACACATGACTGGGTCGGTCCACCAAACTCGCTCTCCAACATACGGCCAATTATTTACCACATCCCGGAGAATGAAACAGAGCTGGAGAAACGGCTGAGAAACCTGAGGCAGGACACAGAGGACTGGAACCACAATTTCTGGGCCAAGCAGAACATCACCTTCAGCAAGGTTACTGAAATACTTTTTAAAAAGTGTTTCTCTGGGGTCAGGGACTGGCCTCTGAAAACTAGTTTGTCTAGTTTTTGGAAGTCTCATTTGTAGGTGGGGTGAAAAGCCAGTCCCTATGGAGGGTAAGGGGGGTATTGTCTAAAAATAGGGAGCACAGTGTAGAGAGAGAAGCACGCATAGTGCTGCTTTTAACTGTTGAGATGGAAACTAACAAAGATACCATGGGGGAATTAATTGTTCGATCCCCTGCTTTATTTATACGTTTTCTCGCGTTTTATGGTAGCTTCATTTTAATGAAGGGAGACAGAATATTCCCAAATCCCAAAAACAAAACACTCAAGTGAGTCGACATCCCTCCTGAGATGTTAATATTTTCATAGAAAACTAGAAAGTTGTGATAAAATTGGTTCTTTTAAGTCATCTGAGCACATGACATGTAGTTTGGAAGAGAATAAAATTCATTTAAGGCTAGTTAGATCATCAGTTAAGACTGTGCTGGCTGTTCTGCCCTTCTGAAAATAAGCTGAAAGGTGGTGGGTGGTGTAAAGCAGTCATAGAAGCGGTTGTTGGTTCATTGTGGGGCAGGTGATTTCAGAGTATGAATAAGAGTGGGAAGTTGATGTGCTCCAAGAAAACCTTTAATCACAGAGGAAGTGGAGTCTTTAGTCTTTGCAGAGAAACTGAAAGTTACTCCTAAATTAAATTCCTAAATTGTTTGTGATATTGTCCTGAGAGCATAAAGATGATGTCTTCCAATTTATTACAGTTAATATATATTTATGATGGTAATTGTTGGCCTGTATTTGTATAGCGCTTTACTTAGTTCCTAAGGACCCCAAAGCGCTTTACACTACATTCAGTCATTCACCCATTCACACACACATTCACACACTGGTGATGGCAAGCTATATTGTTGCCACAGCTGCCCTAGGGCGCACTGACAGAGGCGAGGCTGCCGAACACTGGCGCCGGCAGGCCCTCTGACCATCACCAGTAGGCAACGGGTGAAGTATCTTGCCCAAGGACACAACGGCCGAGACTGTCGGACTGCTCGAACTGGCAACCTTCCGATTACAAGACGAACTGCCAACTCTTGAGCCACGATCGCCCCATGATGATTCATATTGTCCTGCTACTGCTGCTATTTATTTCATATGCAGCCATGCCGTACTGCCGCTTAAATCCAATGAATCAAATTGATATTAGAAGAAAATTCATCTGTAGCTGTTACAAAACCAAACCAGGTGAGCGATCCCTGTCGGCTTGTTATTTCACTTTTCTTAAAAATAAAATGGAAATTAAATTAAACACGATGAAGTCCACTAACCGCATTATCTTCCCTGCCAACTTCCTACTTGCATTAGAATCATGCTGTAATTTCCATCATTATTAATGGAGACTGTAATAGCAGTGGATGTAATTAATCTTTGTGTGCTGAGCTCGTATGTGTGTAAAATCATTTCACCAGTAGAGGGCGGCATTGCACAACAAATGTGTTCTGTTAGGGCCCAGCTATGTAAGAGGTTACAGTGAGGAATAATTGACTGTAGGTTTTATGTGGACCCCAGTCCAAATCTGATTTAACGGCCTTTTAATTAACTTTAAGAATGACCTAATTTAAAGTTACAGTTAAATCTTAAAAGGTTTGTTTGTTGTTTGTTTGTTTTACACTGTCTGCAGGAAAAAGAAGCTTTTATCATTTCACAGCTGAAGGCAAAAGGCTTGACTCTGCGTGATCAGGACGGTGAGGACATGCAGCCTTTTCTGAATATTTCACATTGTTGGTTGGGTTTGCACTTAGACAGTATTTAACCAGCTCAGATGGGTGTACTATGAAACAAGATTACTGGGTGAGTGATGTAAGTCGACCTTGATGTAAGTGAAGGGGCCGCCTTTATACCTGGCTAGATCACCATGGTAACTTATGCTGACCACATCCCTGGTTTGTACCGGTTTATTTTTAGAGTTCCGATTTAAGGTTTTCACAAATTCTTTTAGTTACAGTGTCTTACAAACACAATATTGAGTCTCTGCTAAATGAATACAAATATTTGCAGTCTGTAGAGCTTAAGACTGCAGAATGAAGCTCAGCTGTGAGGTTACAGATAATTCAAACTACATCATATTATCACTGGACTTTCCAAATATTCATATTTGGATAACGATGCAGAAAATGTTTAGTTTTTTGTTGGTGTTTTTTTTTTTTTTCATTGTCTACCAAGCCTTAAAAAAAATCAATGCTAGAGTTGCAGTTTATCATTAGTAAACTAAAGTAATCCCACGTCTCCTTCGTTAGGCTGTGGGTGAATTGTCAGAGCTGAACACAGCGAGAGCACCGATGTGTGGCTGTGACATCAGAGATAAACATTGAAGCTAAGCTTTCAGCTCTTGTGATGATCAAAACACTAAATTAACAATTTTCTGCAGCATTACTCATACTTGCAGCACCAGGGTTGCATTTTACTGCATTTATTTAACATTGTTAATAGACCTCTATCCCCCATTCATGTGATAATGTCTCTGATTGCAGTAAGTGGTGCTCAGTTGACCCATCAGGTGCTGTCTGAAGTGTCAAAAAACACATCAGACAGCCCTTTTTATGTGAGCACAGAAAGCCGGGGTTACCAGGGAGAGTTAATAACCACTGGTGTGATGCCTACTATCGCTGACTGAGGTTTTTTTGGTCAAGTCAGCCAACACAAAGAAACCCTGGCTTTGTCGAACTTGCTTCGTAACCTACCCCTCAGGAGGCACAGTAAACAGCAGTTTGTTTTTCTAACAGCTGGTGAATTGCAGGGGAGATGTATCCTAATGAGAATATAACGCAGTCTGCTGTGTCTTCCCTCCTTCCCTCAGGACGACGGCGGTCCCTGAACAGCGAAGAGATGGCCACGTTTTACAAAAGCTTCCTGGACAAAAACAGAGTACGACATGCAAATTACAACAAGTGAGTTGTTTTGTCTCCCATGATGCTACTGGGTGGGTGAGTAAGTGAGTGGGTGGGTGGTTGGGTTGTTCAATGTCCCTCTGCAGCAGCTGTGAGCTTTAACTGCACTGCATTAACTGATCGGCAAAGAACAACAAACCTCACAGGCTATGAAGAAGTTTTGTGTGAATTAGCAATGCAAAGTGGCTGACTTGTCTTCATGTTGGCAAAGCTTTCCGCCCACACACATCACCTCAGCAGCATGTGTGGGATTTAATCTCTGACTTTTGATTGTTATATTTATTGTCGTTTCAATTTAAACTCCATCAAAGCACAAATGTTCCCCTTTTCTTCCTTCGGGTGTTATTGTGCATTTGCCCGTTTGAATCTTTATATCAGCTTATTTATTACACTGTGCAAAGTGAAACATTCTGTTTTTTGTGTATTCAGGGAATGGTACAGACGTAACTTTACCATCACCTTGCTCTTGGCTCGAGTCACCCTAAACAGTATGTGGAGGACAGTTACGGAAAGACAGAGCAGCAAGAACAACGGCACTCCTACCAGCTGATAGCAAAGAAAATACACACACCCCCACCCTCCTGTCAAAATATCAAATGCCTTGGCTATATTTTTGTCACTTCTGTTACTGCTTCATGTTTGTTCAGGCTCTGCAAATGACTGTAAATTATTCTGGAAAAAATAAAGCAAAGCAAAACATGTGAGGTATTTCTTTTTAATTAATAGTTTTCATCATGTTTTAATAGTTTAAAGTATGGATTGTTATGTCACGGTCTCTTTGGTCAAGAGGGTTTTTGGTTTTTTTTCTTGGTGCAGGGGTTATAGATACATTATAAAGCAGATTCAACTGTTACACCCAGTTTGTGTCAAAACAAAGACAACCTGTGATATCCTCTCAGTGAGATCGGTGCTGACCACCTACGATAAATACAAGAAATTAAAGAATGTGAGTGTAAATGGTTATCTGTCTCTCTCTCTTTATAAGACCTGGGACAGACCACGACCTGTCCAGGGTGTACCCCGCCTTTAGCCCTATGTTAGCTGGGAAAGGCTCCAGCCTCCTGCAGCCCCTTAACAGAAGATGGATGGACAGTTATTTTCCAGATGAATCATTTGGTCTAAATATTTTTGAGACCTGGAATGTAAATGTGTCTGTCTCTAAAGCACTTTGGGTTAACTGTATTGTAGGCTACAAAAAACTAGTGACAGTTAACACAAAAAGGGACAAACATTTCATAGTACATGTTTGATGTTTTTTCTTTTTATTTCCGAATAAATAAAATAATTATTCGACACAATTCAAATATTTGGATCGATCTGCCTACCTCTAACCTCTACCATAAAATATCTAATTAACCTCCAATTTAACAATTTTACCATTATAGGCATAGGCTACTTTTATTTAAGTAGATATATAGGAGTATTGTGCACCATGCACTTTGTGCTTCTTGTTTTTCCGGTAATAAATATGGAGCCTGAACTCGCACCACAGCTTTCCCTTTAATCTGGCCTGGATGACATCAGTGCTGCCAGAGGAGCAGGGGGGTGCCGGGTAACGCCATTTTCGCGTACTGTGCGGTTAGTCATTCAGCCAGCTACAGCACTGAGGAGCTGTCATCTCCAAGGGGGACTAATGAACTTTTTATTCCGCCCCATGAAGCCCTTGTCAGGCTAGTTTGACAGAGCAGTTCCTGTCATGGAAGCAGCGGAAAATACTCGCTTCTCTTGAACGGCTGACTGAAATCGCTGTTTTGACAGATAGCTAGGTGATTAGCTATGTAGCTAGCTGGTCAACATTAACGAGGTTGATGCAGTGAAGCCCGGCGTCAGAAGGCAAAACACATCCTACCAGACAAAGACAGTGTGGAAATTGTGTTTTTTTTTTTAACTTAGTATATTTCTTACGCTTCTTTTACACTCTACACGGGCTGTCGGCCAAAAGAAAAAATCCCATTTAGAAAAGACGTGATTTAAAAGGGGAAGAGGAACATTGAAGTCGAGCTACATTGGCAACGGATGTCCCAGAGAACGGTAAGAATGGCTCCGTGTATTACTTGGAATGCTGTTAATAGCTAATAAGCCACTTGCTTCTCTTATCACGCGTTTCTTAAAGTGTCATTTACCAAAACATAGGTATGTATACTACTAACGTTATGTAGTCTTTGTAACCATTTTTTTATGGAATTGTCTGCTTGTTCTGTGGTCGGTGTTTACGTTAGTTGCAGGAATTAGACATCGCAAGCACATTAACTCATTTAGAGTGCTAGGTCGGAGTTGGCCCCGAGGTTTGGTCTGTGTTACAAGAAAGTATGGTTTAACTGGTTCTTCAGGTTTAATCATTTGTACACTATATAGCTCGGACAAAGCAGCACAAACTTACAGCGACACGGACCCGACTAAAACACGCCTGTCAGCCTGTGGAAACGAGCTTCTGTCGGCTACTGCGGTGGGATTAAATCTTGATGATGACCATTTGTCATGTGATAGTTAGCTGTATCCTTTCATTGATATTCAGAGGGGAGTCAGAGCTGTGAAAGCTGCCTGTGTTGCGCAGACAGCTTTAGGGGGACAGTGGATCTCACTGTGGTACCCACAGCTGGGAAACCAAAAAGACTGAGAAGCATCTATGGATATTTTGAGATTTGGGGCAGTTTGGGGGTATGTAGTTACACATTTTCAGTCTGCACGGAAATACACAAGCATTCTTCTCTGCCCTGCCATGTTTAACGTTTAATACACCCAAAGGTGCACTCATGACAACCTGCAGGGCCCCTCCCTAAGGGCTAAACACCCCCTTTGCTACACCTGAGGCAGCTTGTTGTCGGCCCAGATGGGTGGGTTGAGTGCTGCTGGGTAGCAATGACAGTTTTGTGTGGCTGCAGCAGATTTGATTTTAATGGCTGCAGGTTTTACTTCACTTCTGCAGATGAGCACAGCAATGAGTACAACTTTGTTATTATTTCCAGGTTCCCAGAGCTGGTTAATGGTGAGGTCTTAAAATCCCCCCAGCCAGACATCAGGTGGTTTTCTGTTGATGAACTAATAGAAGAATTGACTGGTTATTAGCACAAAACGAGATGTGAATGAGCATACAAATAACATGACCTCACTAAAATCTTACACACCTGCATTCACATCTACTGTTGCTTACTGTGGTGTAAATTGTGCATTAATAGCTGAATTACTACACAAGCAATACTTGTTTTTCTTTCTTTTTTGTTTTTTGGCATCAATAATGATCTATGGCCAATATTTTACATAAATGCAAACCATAATGGATATTTTTTTCAAGCTTTTTTTCCTTTCTTTGCACAACATCAATTTTATGAATGGTGCCCACACATATCTCTCTCTCTCTCTCTCTCTCTCTCTCTCTCTCTCTCTCTCTCTCTCTCTCTCTCTCTCTCTCT